CTCTGTTTCTTATTATGTTCCCCAAATGAAGTTGGGGAACATATTGTTTTTACTCTGTTTCTTATTATTATTATTATTTTTCTTCTTCTTCTTCTTCTTCCTGGAACTTTTTTGTCCGGGAATGATCTTGTAAACTGTTCGTCCGATGTAGGTAAAACCTTTTTAGGGTTAGTAGACATGTTATGTAGATTTGCGGAATCAAGGTCATTTTGCGCGCACGTGCTTGCAAGGGCGTGCACGTGCAACACGTGAAATGACCAATATAATAGATATAGCCACAACTTTTCTTTTTTTAGATGAAATGCTTTGAAACTCATAATGTAAGGATATATTAGTAGTATAGACATGACGACATGGTGAAAATAGCAAGATCTCACGCGCATGCACGTGCACTTCGCTCTGATTGGCTGCAACTAAAGTCTCAATATCTTTCTTGTTTTTTGACGAAATCCTTTGAAATTTTGAACATAGCCATGCATTAGGATACCCTACAACATGAAATAATGCAATTATCATGAAAACACGTGCATGCACGTGCGCTGCAATCTGATTGGCTGAAACTTTAAACAGCTATAACTCCCTTGGTTTTCAACCAAACAGGATGGGATTTGGAATATAGATAGATATAATGGACTTCTACAAGTAGGTATGGTCACCATGCACATTCATACACGTGCGTGTACATGTACTGCAATCTGATTGGCTGAAACTTTAAACAGCTATAACTCCCTTAGTTTTCACCCAAATGGGGTGGAATTTAGAACATAGATAGATGTAATGGACTTCTACAAGAAGGTATGGTCACCATGCTAATGTATGCACGTGCGTGCACGTGAAATGAGTAAAATCAAACATACACTTGAATGAGCGTATTTTTTGAATAATTTTGGATTAAATACTTTAATATTCAGTGTATTAAAAATATAGATTGTGTAGACAAGATGATATGGTCATGACGCAAATGCATTCACATGTGCACGCGTGCAATGCTAAAGTTTAAATGATTTTTGTACACTTCTTTGTAAATGTTGTTAAAATCTCAGATGCATAGAGTTTGTCTTATTTAATGAAGCTTACAGGGAATATGGCACCAAAAGGGAGTTGGGGAGCGTTTGGGGAACATCTGTAACGGTCCCCGTTACAATTAGCACTAGTTATTATTATTATTATTATTATTATTATTTTTCTTCTTCCTGGGAAAATTTTGTCCACGAGTGATCTTGTAAACTACACATCCGACTTAGGTGAAACCTTTTTTGGGTCAGTAGGCATGTTATGCAGAGTTGCCAAACGAAGGTCATTTTGCGTGCACGTGCTTGCAAGAGCGCGCACGTGCAACATGTGAAATGACCAATATATTGAATATTGCCTTAACTTTTCTATTTTCTGATGAAATTTTTTGAAACTCATAATGTAAGAATACATTAGTAATATAGACAAGATAGCATAGTCAAAATAGCAAGATCTCACGCGCATGCACGTGCGCTTCGCTCTGATTGGCTGAAACTAAAGTCTCAATATCTTTCTTGTTTCTTGTCATAATCCTTTGAAATTTTGAACATAGTCCCACATAATGAGGATCTACAGCATGAAATATAAGAATTTTCATGAAAGAATGCGCATGTGCGCGTGCTGCAATCTGATTGGCTGAAACTTTAAATGGCTATATCTCCTTTGTTTTTTGACGAAATTCTTTGAAATTTAAAATATAGTCATGCATTAGGATATCCTACAATATGATATAGTAAGAATACATGAAATCATGCGCATGAACGTGTGCTTCAATCTGATTGGCTGAAACTTGAAATGGCTATAACTCCCTTGTTTTTCAACCAAACAGGATGGGATTTAGAACATAGATAGATGTAAGAGACTCCTACAAGAAGGTGTGGTCATCATGCACGTGCATGCACGTGCGTGCATTTGGAACGAGAATAACTAAAAATAATCTTGAATGAGTGATTTTTCATACTTTTGGACTGAATACTGTAATATATAGTATATTAAAATATATAGATAGTGTAGACAAGATGATATGGTCATAACGCACATGCATTTACATGCCCTTGGGTGCAATGCTAAAATTTGAATTGGTATCCTTCTGGGAAAACGTTGAGTCCAAAATGCACAGAGTTTGTCTTATTTAATGAAGCTTACAGGGGATATGACACCAAAAGGGAGTTGGGGAGCGTTTGGGGAACATCTGTAACGGTTCCCGTTACAATTAGCACTAGTTATTATTATTATTATTCTTTTTTCTTCTTATTTCTTCTCCGGTACTTTTTTGTCCGGAAGTGTTCTCAGAAACTGTTCACCAAACTAAGTTAAAACCTTTTTAGGGTTAGTAGGCATGTTGTGTAGATGTGCCGAACGAAGGTCATTTTGCGCGCATTCGCATGCACGTGCGGGCGCGTGCAATGAGTTAAATGACTGATATATTTAATATGGTTGTAACTTTTATATTTTTTGATAAAATGTTTTGAAACTCATTATATAAAGATATATAAGTTGTGTAGATAAGATGACATGGTCAAATTTGCATGAACTCACGCGCATGCACGTGCGCTTTGCTCTGATTGGCTGAAACAGAAATCTTAATATCTTTTTTTTTTATGATGAAATGCTTTGAAATTTATAACATAAACATGTATAAGGATGTACTACAATATGATTTATAAAAATTTTCATGAAATCACGCGCATGCACGTGCGCTGCAATCTGATTGGCTGAAACTTTAAATGACTATAACTCCCTTGGTTTTCAACCAAACAGCATGGGATTTAGAACATAGATAGACATAAAGGACTCCTACAAAATGGTATGGTCACCATTCACATGCATGCACGTGCGTGCACGTGCGCTTTGCTCTGATTGGCTGAAACAAAAATCTCAATATCTTTTCTGCTTTTTTGACAAAATGCTTTGAAATTTAAAACATTGGCATACTTTAAGATGTCCTACAATATGATATATAGTAATTGTTATGAAAACACGCGCATGCACGTGCGCTGTAATCTGATTGGCTTAAACTTTAAATGTCTATAACTCCCTTGTTTTTCAACCAAACAGGATGGGATTAAGAACATAGACAGGCATAATGGACTCCTACAAGATGGTATGGTCATCATGCACGTGCGTGCACGTGCAATGAGTAAAATAGTGTAGACAAGATGATATAATCATTACTCTCATGCAATGTTGTTTAAGTCTTAAATGCATAGATTCTGTCTATTTTAATGAAACTTACAGGAATATGGCACGAAAAGGGAGTTGGGGAGCGTTTGGGGAACATCTGTAACGGTTCCCGTTACAATTAGCACTAGTTATTATTATTTTTCTTCTTCCTGGGCACTTTTTTGTCCGCGAATGATCTCGTAAACTACACATCCGACTAAGGTGAAATGTTTTTAGGGTCAGTAGACATGCTATGTAGATTTGTGGAACGAAGGTCATTTTGCGCGCACGTGCTTGCAAGAGCGCGCACGTGCAACACGAGAAATGATCAATATAATGAATGTAAGCGTAACTTTTTATATTTTTGATGAAATGCTTTGAAACTCATAACATTAGGATATATTAGTAGCACAGACAATATAACATGGTCAAAATAGCAAGATCTCACGCGCATGCACGTGCGCTTCGCTCTGATTGGCTGAAACTAAAGTCTCAATATCTTTCTTGTTTTTTGACAAAATCCTTTGAAATTTTGAACTTTGCCATGCATTAAGATATTCTACAACATGATATATAGCAATTTTCATAAAAACACGTGCATGCACGTGCGCTGCAATCTGATTGGCTCAAACTTTAAATAGCTATAACTCACTTGGTTTTCAACCAAACAGGATGGGATTTGGAACATAGATAGATATAATGGACTTCTACAAGGTATGGTCACCATGCACATGCATACACGTGCGTGTACTTGGGCTGCAATCTGATTGGCTGAAACTTAAAACAGCTATAACTTCCTTGGTTTTCAACCAAACGGGGTGGGATTTAGAACATAGATAGATGTAATGAACTTCTACAATAAGGTATGGTCACCATGCTCATGTATGCCCGTACATGCACGTGAAATGAGTACATTCAAAAATACACTTGAATGAGCGTATTTTTAATACTTTTTGATTAAATACTTTAATATTTAGTATATTGAAATACATAGACTGTGTAGACTAGATGATATGATCATTACGCACATGCATTCACATGCGCACGCGTGCAATGCTAAAATTTGATTGAACTTGGTACACTTCTGGGTAAAAGTTGTTAAAGTCTCAAATGCAGAGTTTGTCTTATTTAATGAAGCTTACAGGAAATATGGCACCAAAAGGGATTTGGGGAGGGTTTGGGGAACATCTGTAACGGTTCCCGTTACAATTAGCACTAGTTTGTAGTAAATTATATGTGAGAAAAAAAGAGAAAATAACAAAACATTAAGTGCGTATAAATGATAAAAAAGTGCAATTTTCTATTAAAAAAAATTATTGTTCATGTTTTAATTAGAAACTATTTATGTACAATTATTATAATTATTATCAAATTTATGACATTGTCTTTTCTTCCTATCGGAAGAAGTTCCGCTAATTTTAAGCGAAGGAATGTAAATATATGGAAATATATCTATATATGTAACATTGTATGGAGATGAATACATGTATGATGAGATATAATAAGCAAGAATAAACCTATTCGTTGTGGCCATTGCATAGCATAGATAACAATGATCATAAATGGTCTGTCGACAGTTCTATATAATTGGTGAAAAGAAACATTTTCTAACATAAATAAATATTTAAAGAAAATCTGCAGATGATTTTAATTTTGTTTCCATGTAATTTGCAAAAGAAAATATCAAATGTATGCTCTGTAGATGAGTTAAATATACAAAGATTGATTCTAAATTACCGTAATACTAAAAGTATAAGTTTAATATTCTTTATATGGCGTGTCCAAAATATTTTAGTTTTAATCATTGTCATGTATTTTTTAGTCACCCGAGATGCCATGGGAAATTATATCGTCCCCCCGGCGGGAAAACCCCTGACGTCACTTGGTGAGTATAATTCTGAAAAAAGTTACTAATATTTAAAATACAACCCACGCCATCATGAACATAGAAATGACAAGGATTTTTTTAAAGGCGGAGAGTGTCAAGCTCTATTTCAATTTCAACAGGTGAATAAATAATAAAAAAAATGTTTATAAACTGCTTGAGCTTGAAACTGCCTGTGAAGGGCCTTCGGTAGTAAAGGATATACATGTATAATGTTTGTACACATTTAATATTAATAAACAACAGGAGAATATGAACACCGATATGGAGAAAAAAATCCAAAAGCTTTAGGTTATGTTAGTATAAAAGGGAAACTGTATTGAAAATTGTGGGTGGTTCGGCAAGTTATTGGATCCGCCTATACGTATTATTACATTCCCGTTCTGAGCATTTTTGTTGTTGTTGTTTTTAATTCTTTTTGGGGAAAATCTTTTTTTTTTTGATTTGTACAAAGTGTATTTACTGTAATTATATTGGTCTAATCAAGCGATTTCGTGAGAAGAGCACTTGTAATTTGTAAACATGAAAGAGAATCATGTACAAATTTTGATAATCTTGCATATATTTATATAATCTGACCAGTTACCAGCATCTCAGCACATTTTATCACCTACATTTTATCATTAACACTATTTCATTTCTTGTATTTTCAAAATTAGGAATAAATATTTTTAATTTACAATATAATTCACAAAAGGGGTAAGATTTATTCATTTCTCTGAAACCGTCAGGCCAAACAGAATTACATTCGAACGTCGGAACTGCCATTTAATTGCTTGAATAATGCAATTTAATCGTCTGGCACTCCACATTTTATGTGCACTCTAAATGAATTGATAATGCTGCTGACACAATAATGTCTGAGACAATAGTAGCGGTTCCTGATTCATAAAATAATTAAAGGAGTCGATAGGCACTGCAATACACGGATCGATTTTACTGAATAGCACAAGCTGTATTGTGTATTGGTAATTTAAAATTGCTTGATTGAAAATTAAATGATCAACTGTCTAATTCAAAGACCATGTGCATCGAAACATAACACTCGTTTTCTTAACATCGCATTATCTACAAAACAATGTAATCGAATGGAATATTTTAAAAAACAAGTATCTTTGATAGGTATTTTAAGTTTAGAACATTTACATTTATACATGATAGACTGTGTTTTGGAAATGATATCCATTTTGCCAATGAAGGTATTTTTGAATGTTTTTCTTTCATATATGTATAAAAAAAATGTTAAAAAATGATTAACGAAGCTCTCAACAGTAAGAAAAAAGCTGAGTTTTTCTTGTTCATTTTCAACTTGGGGTCCTTGTCATATTTCTATAAATAGAAAGATAACCGAATTACAAAATGTTGCTGTTAACTATGAGAAAACATATGTAAGTTTTACTGTATGCGATGTTTTCACATATATTTGTCAAAAATAAATTTTTGAACACGTTTAATCAAATAGAGTCAGTAACTTAGATTTCATATTATATCAAAGAGAAGACCACTCTAGCTACATAATTCAGACAGTAATACCTGCACTATGGTGTTTGCCTCTAAATACACCCTCCTTTATATTGGACTTTCCAAGGAAGAAGTCAAAATAATTCTATAATTATCTCCGTACATGTATTCGTTAAATTGAGCATAAAATTTTCAGGTGATCATATGATCTATGAGCCTCACATATGTATTTTGAATACTTAATTCATTACCAGTCTGAAATAACAGAATTTAATTAATGATTGAAGTAAATTACTTAATTAGATTCAGATAAATATTTTGCCCATAATTTGGAACTTTTTAAATTTACTTTCTCAACGACATAAAATATTATTTTAGTACAAAGCGTTTTTTATGAATTTATCAAAATGTGCAAACTGATTTTAGTACTTGGTCGGGAAAAAAACCCATTGAAAATACAACCCGATTAATTTGTCAATGCCTATCTCTCTCTCTCTCCCCCCCCCCCCCCCCACACACACACACACACACTCACTCTCACATTTTTTTAAAAATAGACCTAGATGGCAAAGTTATGTTAAAACATAGTTTATTACGATAGTTTGAAATTTGTTCTTGTACTAAACAGTTTTACGTGTGAACATTTATTTTCTACATTCACATTGGGTTTGCGTCACCCATTATCATATTTATAGATATCACCTCTCGGCACACCTCGGCCGATTCATACTGGCAACGGAATCAGCAAAGTTTGTCGAATGAGATTATTTAGCACATGTATGCTGACGATGCAGTGTGGTTAGTTAAAATCATTTGTGTTTTAATTGGATTATATGGATTATATTTCATGAATTCGTTGTCACGACCTATGACATTCGGTAAGTACAAGATTTAGTATAGATTGCATAAAAATAAATAAATGCAAATGGTTAGGTTGAAGTTCAAAAAGGGTCAAAGATCATCGCATGCCACAGTCGACAAATTTCACATTGTCAAGTTATCTCCCGTTGCGGACATTCAGTATATACAGGCGCAGATCCACAATTTTTTTTTTCAGAACGGGGGGGGGTGTCACACCTCAGTCAAAAAAATCAGCCCAAGATTTCCTGAGAAGCAAATAAAAAATAATAATAAAAACAATGATAGTGGAGTCCCTGTTTTCTAAGGGGGAGGATGTCCAAAGTCATTTTTATTCTCTACAGTACATAGTCTTATTTAAATAACTGCTAATTCCAAGGGGGGGGGGGGTCTGATCTCCCTAGCCACTGACTCCCTGTACCTGAAATGACAATTGATCTTATGACTCCATAATAGTAGAAAATTTTTTCTTTTGACTATATATACATATTTTGTTTCCTATGTTTATGTATGTTTGTCTGTCCACAGAAACTTTAACCTTGCCCATAAGTTTTAAATGGATTGGGCTATACACATGGCTTCAATATTTCATAGTTAAATTTCTTTTAGCAAAACCTTTTAATGGGTACCACCAATTTTGACCTCTTGATCTCTTGACCTTGGAGTTTGACCCACTTTTACAAGAAAAATACCTTAAACTTGGCCTAAGTTTTGAACAGGTGGTGCTAGGACTTTCATGCTCTAACATGTGTAATCATTGTTAACTTTCAACAGGTATAATTATTTTTGACCTAGACCTTAGAGTTGAACCCAATTTAACTTTAACCATGGCAATAACTTTTGAACAGGTGAGGAAGTTCTAGGGATTTCTCTCTTTTTTCACATGTGTATTCCTTGTGACAAGACTTTCCCTTTGATACCAACAATTTTGACCCTTTGACCTTGACCTTGGAGTTTGACTTACATTTGAGAAACTTCAACCTTGCCAAAAGCTGCCATAACAGTTGCTGTCACAACAAACAAACAAATTACTAAAAAAAACACAGTATACATGTACGTATTTTATATTCAACAGATATACATCTGGTCATATCTCTAGTTCTCCCTTGAATGAGACATGGTGATATAAATTTTAAAAAATAATTATGATAAGAGTTGAAAAGATTGTGCATATTAAAATATACTAAGCTCTGCGGATGAATTAGATATACCAGTTTAGCTTTATTTTGCTACCCAAAGCACCTTGATTAACTATTTATAAGCATACTGTTTTCTGAAATGTACTGATTTCTGTTGTCCATCTGTTTGTCTGCAAACTTTTGACATTAACTTCTTAAGAACCACTGGGCCAATTTCAACCAATTTACATTTAAATATGCTGGGGACTTTTTCCAACATAAATCTTCTTCTCAAGAACAGCAAAGACATTTATTGTCCCCCATTTTTGCTAAAGGTAGGGTACATTAAATCTCATTTGTTTGTTAATCTGCCCATCTGTCACAATAAATTTAACCTTGGTCATCATGGTCATATATTTTGAATGAGAAGAGATGTTATATTAAACATGAGTATTAGTATTAAATGGGACAATACCATTCTAAATACACTATGATTTTTATCACCCATGACCTTGAGTTTGACCTAATTTCATAAACAAATTAATTGCTTTAAATTGATCATTTTGAAAGATAAATGAAAGGGCATTCATATTACCTGTGATATTAAGACCTTTCCAAATGTATCATGACTTTTTGACTCTGTGACCTTGACCTTGAAGTTTAACTTAGTTTTCATTAATGTTGTATTTCCTTTTCATTGAGAAGAGATTCGACTTTCACATTTCAAGTGAACATTACCCATAACAAGATGTTTCCCAACATGCTATGATTTTTTACCCCTTGACCTTGATGTTTTAACAAAATTTCAAAAGAGTGAACTCTCCCAAAAGAGGATAAGACCACTGTTTAAAACGAAAAAGGAGTTTAATAGGGAAGACTGGGCTTTTTCCATAAAAAACATCATTTTTCGACCCTCATTTGACCCCCCGGGCAAAATCAAAATTCCGAAACCTAACTGCACATCTACATGACCCCACCAACCATCTCCCAAAAGATGATTAGGCTGCTGAATAAAATGTAAGAGGTGTTCAGGGAAGATGGGGCTTTTAGCATAAAAAACGTCATTTTTCGACCCCCATTTGACCCCCTGGGGCAAAATCAAAATTCCGAAACCTTACTACACATCTGCATGACACCACCAACCATCTCCCAAAAGATGATTAGGCTCCTGAGTAAAATGTAAGAGGAGTTCAGGGAAGAAGGGTCTTTTTGCATTAAAAAAGTCATTTTTCAACACCCATTTGACCCCCCAGGGCAAAATCAAAATTCCAAAACCTTACTGCACATCTACATGACACCACCAACCATCTCCCAAAAGATGATTAGGCTCCTGAGTAAAATGTAAGAGGAGTTCAGGGAAGACGGGGCTTTTTGCATAAAAAACATCATTTTTCGACCCCCATTTGACCCCCCGGGGCAAAATCAAAATTCTAAAACCTTACTGCACATCTACATGACCCCACCAACCATCTTCCAAAAGATGATTAGGCTGCTGAATAAAATGTAAGAGGAGTTCAGGGAAGACGGAGCTTTTTGCTTAAAAAACGTCATTTTTCGACCCCCATTTGACCCCCTGGGGCAAAATCAAAATTCCGAATCCTTACTGCACATCTACATGACCCCACCAACCATCTCCCAAAAGCTGGTTAGGCTGCTGAGTAAAATGTAGAAGGAGTTCAGGGAAGACGGGGCTTTTTGCATAAAAAACGTCATTTTTCGACCCCCCTTTGACCCCCCGGGGCAAAATCAAAATTCCAAAACCTTACTGCACATCTACATTACCCCACCAACCATCTCCCAAAAGATGATTAAGCTACTGTGTAAAATGTAGGAGGAGTTCAGGGAAGAAAAGTGTGACAGACGGACGGACGGACGGACGGACATGAGTAACAACAATATACCCGAACTTTCTTTAGAAAGTGCGGGTATAAAAACGACAAAATAACCTGATAATCAATCGTTCTTGCACAGAGTCGTGTTTTCTTTTCATTTTCAGACGAGGTGAATGTCTGAGATCTTTAATATAATCACATATGACGATACAATGTCAGATGAACTAAATCATAAAGTAATGGATTTTACCAAATTAACAATCAAGTCCATTGTTGATAAGGAGAGATAGATTCCCATATTATGAATGTTGACCACTACCATCCTTTTCCATTCGGGGATAACAGAAGTCGACCCCAATACTTGAAGATACATTGTAATGATGGATATCGATATCCGCCAATACAATATCATCTGACCCAAGGTCAGATTTGGGTCACTTTCATTTGATTACCCTACAAAGATTAAAACCTTCGATCTTTGGATACGGAGATCCACTTAAGGTCCTTTTACATAAAATATATACTAAAACATTTTTATTATGAATCAAGCGCAAGACTTTAGTTAGCTAAACACAGTTTCGAATAAAGTCTAGGATTTTTCCCTCAGAGAAAAGCATGACGAACAGAGATTTCCCTTCTATTTATATATTATATGCAATCTACATGAAAATTTGGACTTTAATTTTTTGGTAAATAGTTGAGACTTGTCTTAAAATTGAGAAAGAATAAAAATTTACTTTCGTACACATTAGGTATTTGCAAAGAAAAGCTGGAAAAAAAGTACCCATTGGCAAAAACCTTAGGACTTGTTCTGCGTATTCACTTCCTCTGAAAATTATTTGTATTTTATTTAAGGTGATCCAACCCCTGGGCCCGCGGATTATCTACCTTTGATTAGTCATAAGGCATCACTTCCTCATTACTCTATTTCCGGAAAACATAAAACAAGTAAAGGTAAGTTTCAATTTAAAAAGTAAAACTATTCGGCTCAATTTTTGAATACATAACAAGATGTGTTTGTGAAACACTGCACCTAGCGGCAACAAAGTTCGAAAAAGCTACTTTTAGCATTTTGGTCATAGTCAAGGCCACAAAGTCATCGACCTTGGTGCCATTTGAAAGATCTTATATGTAATTAGTGAAGTATGCATACCAAATATGAAGTCTCCATCTCTTATGGTCAAAATTTATGGCAAAGGTTTAAAAAAAATTCTAGCATATATATGTAGGTCACAGTCAAGGTCACAAAGTCATTGACCTTGGTGCCATTTGAAAGAACTTAATTAGGAGAGTAAGCATACCAAATATGAAGTCTCTATTATCTCTTATGGATCAAAAGTTATGGCGAAGGTCTAAAAGGATATTTTTAGCATATAGGTCACAGTCAAGATCACAAGGTCATTGACCTTGGTGTCATTTGAAAGAGCTTAATAATTGGAGTAATTTTTGAATTAAATAATTGCGAATGATATTAAGATACATGTATAATTTATCATTGAGTGCAGTCTGTAATAAAACCAATTACAAAGCTGTGCATCTTCTCTTTAGAGTGTATCTCGATCTCGACTTAAATTATTTGCGTCACTTCCGTTACGCACTTACTATCTTTCTCATCCACAAACACACACACACACACGTTTTACTTTTGAATTTTGGTTCCGAGTAGGTTATAATTCAAATAAAATCGAATAAATAAATAAACGCATTTTAATATTTATGAGTAATTTTTTTCTTTGTCAGACAGTGTAAATCCCGGCCCCTCAGATTTCTCAACCAGTGGGGACTTGATTTGGAAAAATAAAACAGTAACTTTCAAAGGAAGAAGTAAATGTTCATTTGAAGAAGAAGGTGAGGTGCTATTGCGTAGCATAATTACTTACAATGGCAAAAATATTTTTGAGATCGAATTAGGGGCATCTAACCTATTGCCTACATAACACAAATATAAAAGACACACAGCTAATTTCATCCTTGACAAAGTTCTACATGCATCATAAAGTTTTCGTTTTTCAAATAATGTGACACGCGTACTTTTTATATTGTGTTTACTAGCTGAGAAGTACTGTACAGTTATCGGACCAGCGAAGTACAACTCTAGCTATCAGCAGTTTGGAAATAATTGTGGTCCAAAATTTAGTATTGCCCACAAGCAGCGTGCTGACGTCTATACCGGTCCCCCAAATAGCCAGGTACAACCTGTGGACTCACAAGGTAGGCTTTGGAATTTTGAAGAAACAGCTTTACATCACACAGCTCCCATTTACCTTATATTTGGTGATATATTGTTAAACGCCTTACATAATTTCATTTTATAGGTTTTTCAACACCTGGGCCGAATTACAGACCAAATTCCTCTTACTTCGGTCGAGGTCCAAAGAAATCATTTGGAGTTGCAAGGACGATAGTTTGGAAGTACTCACCGGGCAAGTTATTACAATGTCCTCAGAAATAATATATTCAAACGAACACAGCCAGACTTTCTTTACTAAGCTTACCTTTATGCCTACATTCCAGGTCCCAGTGATTACATTCTAAAACCAAAGTCACGTGGTCCTTCCTATTCCTTTGGTTGTAAGCTGCCGCCTCCTCCAAATGTTCAACAAAGTACGGTTGATATTTGATAATTATAATTAACTGATTAAACTAGAAAGTAATCAATCTACAAACAATTCGTCTGTATTGGCGTTTACAGTAAAAGCTTATTAATAACTTTTTAGGTCACCTGAGTAAACTCAGGTGACCTATTGCTATCTGTTTTCGTCCGTCGTCGTGCGTCGTCCGTCGTCCGTCGTGCGTCGTGCGTCGTGTGTTAACATTTGAACATTTTCAGCTTCTTCTCTGAAACCACTGAACCAATTTTAACCATATTTGGCACAAAGCATGTATGGGTGAAGGGGAACAAAAATTGTGAATTTCATGATCCCTGCCCCCCTTGGGCCTGAGGGGTGGGGCCAAAACCACTAAAATTAATGCAATCTTTAAAAATCTTCTTCTTTACTCCTGGACATCAAGCAGTAAATCTGTTTGCATGATTGTAATCAGCAATGAGTCCTCTACCAAAATTGTGAAATTCATGGCCCTGGGGTCAGGGGTTCTAGTGCTAGGGCGGGGCTAAATAAGTAGGTAGTGAAAATGCATTATTTCTTTGAAAATCTTCTTCTCTGCTCCTGGGTATTAAATAAACAAACTAAGTACATAGTTATGATGAGCAAGAGTGCCTCTACCAAAATTGTGAATTTTATGGCCCCGGGGTCAAGGGTTCTGGTTTTAGGGCGGGGCTCTATTGATTATATAGTGAAAATACATTATTTCTTTGAAAATCTTCTTCTCTGCTCCTGGGTATTAAATAAACTAACTAAGTACATAGTTATGATGAGCAAGATTGCCTCTACCAAAATTGTGAATTTTATGGCCCCGGGGTCAAGGGTTCTGGTGTTAGGGCGGGGCTCTAATGATTATATAGTGAAAATACACTATTTCTTTGAAAATCTTCTTCTCTGCTCCTGGGTATTAAATAAACTAACTAAGTACATAGTTATGATGAGCAAGATTGCCTCTACCAAAATTGTGAATTTTATGGCCCCAGGGTCAAGGGTACTTGTTTTAGGGTGGGGCTCTAATGATTACATAGTGAAATGCATGAATTCTTTGAACATCTTATCCTTTGCTCCTGGTTAATATTCTAATGATCTAATGACATATTTAAGGCCAGGATTTATTTTATTTTCAGTTTTATAAACCCTCCGCTCAAGGTTTAGAATTTTCAGAAAATATAAAACAATTTTTTCTTTCCGTTGTCAAATTTGAGTGCGGGATCGAGATTTCAAATTTACAAAGTCGCACTTCCGGTTTTAAGATGAAACGGCGGGTAAATAATGCTAGATCTATCTGAGAAGATAGCTTGGTTTAGTGTAAAATTCATCGACTCGAGTGCCATTCAAAACGTTTCACCCGTTCAAAGGACAAATAAAATGCTGACGACTTTGTTGCACAATGACATGCTGGTGAGATAATTATGTGTTAGTTTCAAAAGTATCTGTCTGTAAATTATTTTCCTCCCCCAGGTTTTAACAGGTCCAGCACAATGTCTTGATTAAGCTATATAGCTTTAAATAGCTATATAGCTTTATTAAGCTATTTAAAATAGCTTAATAAAGCTATTTATCTGCAGTTTTCAACAAAAATGTTTTTAGTAAGAAATAAATAAAAAGTCGCAAGTATTTGACTATTCATATTTGTACTTTGGGCTATCAAAAATACAACCTAAATCATAGAAAGTTCTAACATTGCTGTTGTTGAATACTTTTATGCAAAAGATGAATTTCCATTGTTTGGTTAACAGCACTATCATATTGAGTGTGATGAGGCGTGGAAAAGTATGATTGCTTTTCATTGTGTTGAACTGTTACTAATCAATTATCCTGTTGGCCATAACTGACCTTCTTTATAATTTCATTCAAGAAATAACTGTGTGGTCACTCATCAATAGTCCCCAAACTTTTAAAAATTAGAGTACAAAGTCTCTCAAGGAGACGTAATTTGGTGAGTGATTTTTACATGCATTGTATTCAGAAGAGTTCAAAGTTTAATATTCCCACTGCACCAAGGTGCGACTTTTTGCATTTGCTGAAAAAATAAAACATTTGAGAAAAAAGTGTGATAAAATAGCTTAATCAAGCTATTCCGAATAGCTTAATAAAGCTATATAGCTAAATTAAGCTACATAGCTTAATCAAGACATTGTGCCGGACCTGTTTAAACTGCCAGTGGTAGCTGTTGCATATTGTCAGCGACATTGTTTAGGCCTCTGTTATAGCTTACAGTCTAAGCATCATTCTTCAGAAAAGGGTTGCTTATGCATCAGATGTAATGAATAAAACTATGGGTGAATTTAAGTCCATTTGAGGAAGAAATAAACAATAACCTGAAGAAATAAAAAAAAAATTCAACTATTAAAAGGCAAAAATATACAAATATATACAGGCATAAGTGAATTTGTATCAGCCAGTAAAATTATTTTACACTTAATTGAAAAAATGTTCACCCTACTCCCTAATACTCCCTGTCTGTTTTATGATAGGAGTAATATAATTTTAGGCATCAAGTAAATTTTAGAACAATGCCTACACATTCACCTAACACATATCAAAAAAATTAAAATATATTGAAAGACATTTAAAGAATTGATTTTTTACATACATATTGACCAACATCACAAAATGTATAAAACTGGCCCAAACTGGCAGATGATGAAATAAGCAATTAATGTTCTACTTTCGTATTTGTAAGCATTATGTGTCCAGTGGTAAGGAGCCTTTTAGAATGGCATAAAAAAAGAATGTACAGATGTTAATAATTGATTTATCAAAAAAAAAAAAAAAATATTTTCTTCTCATTCGGGACATTTTAATTCTCATATTCATAACTAAACCTAAACATAAAAAAAGATGCTGGCCTTGTAATGAAGAAAGGGGCCTCTTTCAAAATAGATAATTTCAGGGCCGCTGGGTCAGGGGTACCAGGGGGGTACTTTGACTTAAAAATAAATTAATGCTTTGAAATCTGCCCTTTGATAAGCAATGGTGCCTCTTTCCAAATTTGTGAATTTCATGGCTTTTGGATTAAAACATGAACCAAATACAATCACTGGAAAGTTGTTACATGATACTCAGGTGACCTATAAGGCCCGTGGGCCTCTTGTTTTAATTGTCTGCAGAGAGTTAATAGCTGATATACACTTAGTATTTATATACTCTGCAATCCATACTTTATTAAGATTTCCAACTGACAACTGCATTTCTATGACAATTTCCCAAAACTGAACTGATGGCGGTTACAGAACAGTTTATGTTTCATTTATTATATCTGTAGCCGTAAATAAGGACAGCCCAGCGCCGAACACGTACGATCTCTGTACTACTATTGGTAGAGCCACGTCTGTTATCATAGCGAGCAGGAGGCAGGAGAAAGACAGAGACACAAGTAAGCAATCTTGATTACCTCAAGCAACCTTAATTACCTCACAGGTTAAAGAAATAAGCAACCTTAATTACCTAAAGTTAAACAAGTGAGTCTAAATTACGTCACGTTAAACAAGTAAGCAACCTTTTAAAATTATCTCAAGTTAAGCAAGTACAAGCAAGTCTTAATTACGTCCCAGGTTAAACAAGTAAGCAGCCTTTTAAAATTATCTCAAGTTAAGCAAGTATAAGCAAGTCTTAATTACGTCCCAGGTTAAACAAGTAAGCAACCTTTTAAAATTATCTCAAGTTAAGCAAGTATAAGCAAGTCTTAATTACGTCCCAGGTTAAACAAGTAGCAACCTTAATACCTCAAGTTTAAGAAAACCTCTCAAGTTAAACATGTCCAAGCTCCCTTAATTTTCTTTTGGATTTGACAAGTGAACTCATTTATTTACAAGTCAGGTTATGCAAGGCAGTTCTTTCTCATTTTCAACAATTGAATTTATATTTCCTTTTTAAATTACTCTCAGGTTAAATTAAATTAAATTCACATAGACGATTGTAGGATGGTTTTTGGATATAAAATTCTTATATTTTGTTCACACACTTGCACAATAATTGATATATAACTCGATGTTTTTAGCTCACCTGAGCCGAAGGCTCAAGTGAACTTTTCTAATCACATTTTGTCCGTCGTCCATCCGTCTGTCTGTCCGTCTGTAAACTTTTTACATTTTCAACTTCCTCTCAAGAACCACTGGGCCAATTTTGACCAAACTTGGTACAAAGCATCCTTGGGTGAAGGGAAATCTAAATTGTTAAAATAAAGGGTCAGGTCCCTTCACAAGGGGAGATAATCAAGAAAAGACAAAATAGGGTGGGGTCATTAAAAAATCTTCTGCTCAAGAACCACTGGGTCAGAAAAGCTGAAACCTAAGTGGAAGCATCCTGGTATAGTGTAGATTCTAAATTGTTCAAATCATGACCCCCGGGGAAGGGCGGGGCCACAATGGGGAAACAAAGTTTTCCATAGAAATATAAAGTGTTCAAATCCTGACCCCGGGGAACGACGGGGCCACAATGGGGAATCAAAGTTTTACATAGAAATATATAGGAAAAATCTTTGAAAATCTTCTTCTCAAGAACCACTGGGCCAGAAAAGCTGATACTTATGTGGACGCATACTTGTTTAGTGTAAATTTTAAATTGTTCAAATCATGACCCCCCGGGGAAGGGCGGGGCCACAATGGAGGATCAACGTTTTACATTGAAATATATAGGAAAAATCTTTGAATATCTTCTTCTCAAGAACCACTGGGCCAGAGAAGCTGAAACTTATGTGGAAGCATCCAGGTATAGTGTAGATTCTAAATTGTTAAAATCATGACCCCCCCCGGGGAAGGGCGGGGCCACAATGGGGAATCAAAATTTTTATATAGAAAAATATAGGAAAAATCTTTGAAAATCTTCTTCTCAAGAACCACTGGGC